AATAGTTCTCTTTGGTGTTTGAAATTTGATTTTGACAAAGTTTACCATTATGATATTTGGCCAACAGAAGAACGAAATAGAAAAGCTAAGCAGTCACTGGACGGGATTTCTTTACAACCTAGTTAAAAGAGGTGAACTAGGCTGGCGGGCCACAATGCTGCCGCGCCGCCCCTCTACAAGACAAAGGGTTGTCTGTTGGTTGTCAGCGCACCGGACGCGGACGGGGGCGGGGGCCAGCAATGGCGAGTAAGCAGGGTTGCCTATGTCACAGTGACGCTTCTACAGAATCTAAACGTCTGACAGGACGGCCGTTTTTATCCACTCATATCCGCGGAGGTGTTCTTCTGTGCGCTCTCCGTAAGATGACTCGGAGTGCGTCTTCATCTCAGGTTCGGCGCGCCACCCCCCACGGGCCTCGCGACCACTCCTACTGAACCATGTTGGCCCGGATCCACTCCGCGTAGTGGTCGACCCTCGTGTAGACGCTGGGGACGCCCTCCACGCCGCAACGGGTGGACCCGAACGACACGATGCCGATCTGCAACAAGATGTTGGCGGTTAGAATAGTCTGGGCGAGCTGCGGGGGCAGGAGGGAGGAGGTGGGCGTCCTCACCTGGTAGTAGCGCGTGCCTGTGGCGTCCAGGCTCACGAGCGGCGCGCCTCCGAAGCCCGAGCAGGCGTCGCGGCCCTGCTCGCCGCCCACGCAGAGCTGGTCGCTAGTGACGGGCACGACGCGCTCGTACACCTGGGCGCACGTCTCCAGCTGCACGATGGGCAGGTCCAGCTGCTGCTGCGGCCCCGGCACCGCTGCACGGGGACAAGAGCACCGTCACTACCCCTCGTCGCGCCGCACCGGACTAAGGCGGGGGGTACTCACCTGTCTGGCCGGCCGTTAGGCCCCAGCCGACGAGCTTGGCTCGCTGCCCTACCACCCCCGCCACGTTCTGGTTGATGCAGATGGGCTGCGCGCCGAGGTGGAAGGCGACAGGCGCCTTCAGCACGAGCAGCGCCACGTCGTGCCGGAACGTGGCGCGCTCGTAGCTGGGGTGCACCACCACGTGGTCCACGGGGATGTCTTGGGGTGGCCGCGAGCAGAAGCCCGTGGAGCAGTCCGGGTCCGAGTTCGCGTCGTACTCGCCCACGCGCACGGACGACCTGGAACCGAGCGGGTGGTGAGGCGGGGCAGGTGCGATGAGGCTGGTATGGGCAGAAGGTAGTACGAGGAACTCACAGCTTGTGCGTCGCGCTCTTAGCCAACGCGCAGTGGGCGGCGGTTAGGATCACCCGCTCAGAAATGATGGACCCGCAGCAGGGGTACTCCACGGCGCCGGTGTCCACCTCTGCTGACAGAAGGAGAGGCGTTAAGGCGCACTGCGGTGTGCTGCACGAGCTCACGCAGGGCCACATTGTGTTGCACGGGGACGAAATTAATAGCTTTACAGATTAGAATTTTCGCTCCGTGAACAAAACTTTCATTGCTTTGATTCAAAACTTTAGCCCTATCGAATGTTTAGTTTTGATTTTTGGTTCATTATATTCAGTTGAACATAGGGGTGCTAACTTTGATTGCCCTCGTGAGCTCATGGTTCGTGCAACAGCCCTTTCTGAGCCGGCGCTTACTCTTGAAGCCGACGCGCGCCACCCAGGGCTGGGCGCCCACCCCCGCGTAGCGGCTCCTCCAGTTGTACAGGTGCGGGACGCCGCACTTGGCGGGCAGCGGGTCCGGGGTGGTGACGGCCACGGGCGGCGCCGTGACTACCGCCGCGGCCACGGGCGCGGCCGTGCTCAGGTAGATGGGCGAGAAGCCGCCCGGAGGGCAGCACACCATGGACTCGGCGCCGCGGGTCCCACACGTCAACTGCGCCAGCCTGAACAATGATGAAGGCACAAGTAAGTACGGGCAATAAGGCAACAGCAGCAGCAGTAGCAGCGGTGGCTGCGGCAGCATCAGCAGCAGTGAGATGAAAAGTCAACCAACTTTCGTGAATAAACCGCCCACCCACCCTGTGGTTTTATTCATGGAGGCACGGGGGTTTTCTGTTGCTCTAAAGCAACCGTAGGTTATGGGTCTCTGCACGCAAGAGTCGCCCCGGGGGATGGGCGCGTAGCGCAGAGAGCGGGAGCGCAGGGTGGCGGCCCGGCCTCGGCGTCATGGTTAGATGCATGGAGCTGCCCCCTCCCGCGAGGATCACCCCTCCACTCCCCCATCCCCTCCCACTCGCACTCGCCTCCCTGTCTCCCGACAAACAACAGACGCGGGAAGAGCGCGCATTTCCCTAAGGCATCTTATCTGCAGACTTACTTTTCGCCGGAGAGGCACGTCTTGTCGAGGAGGTCCAGGATGGTCCTGCACTGGAAGAGCGGGGCACAGTAGGCCCCGGGGGCGCACAGCACCTCGTTGCCGACCGAGGATCGGCTGTACGCGGCCTCGGTGGGGCCCAGGGTGTACGCCACTGAGCGCGGCACCTTGCTGGGGGCGAGCTCGCCGTCAGACAGCTCGTCGGGGTCCGCGGATGGGGTGGGGCCGGCGGCGAGCAGCGTGGACATGAGCCCGGGGCCAGGGACGCTGGACGGCGACCCCTCAGCGTCGTCGGGCCTGTCTGACCAGAGCGCCGAGTCGGACGACGTGGTCGCGAGGGCGGCGGGGACCTCCCCGGACACTGATGTGCTCCATGAGGTAGGGCTGCTGGACAACAGGGGCTCCGCAGAGGACGCCAGAGATGACCCAAGGGTCTGCAGGTCAATACTGTGCTCGTCCACCAGCGGCTTCACATCTGCAACAGAAAGAAATACAATCAGGTTCTAAATGAAAAAGTGCCAAGGCCAGAGCCACGCCTGCTGCTACGCGGCCCTTATACTGGGCGCGGAATATTCAGAACCAAATCTTGTATTATGGCATTCAAATTCTGAGATTAAAAGCATTTCATAAACTGGGGTGTTTATGCAGAGGAGGGACACGACGTTGGG